ACGATAGTGTACTAAATTTTTGACGAGCTTCTGGGGCACTACTAAGACCCATTGGTAGCACTCTGTATGATACAAGCCGTCTTGCGTGAGGAAAGCAGTCAAATTTCGGCAATCTGGAGTCAGTGGAATGTGGTAGTATGGACTGTGAATATCCAGCTTTGAGAAAAGTTTGGCGTCTGATAGCCTAGCCATCAACTCGTCAAGAGAAGGCAGAGGGAATTTGTCCACAAGTATATGTCGAGTAAGCGCTCGAAGGTCGGTGCATACACGAAGTCAGCCATGTTTATTTTGAACGGCAACTATTGGAGCAACTCATTCAGAACACTATATGGGTTCTATCAAGTCTTCCGTGATCATATTTTTCAAAGCTTGAGGTCAAGCCTCTCGCTTAGCCAGTGGTATAAGCTTACATTGAGGAATGCTGAACGGTTTGAAATGCGCGCTCAACCGAACGCGGTGCATTGCTTTTCAGACTCTACCAATATCCGGAGAGAGCGATTTGGTTAACTGGAAACTAACGAATGAAGGTTTGCACTGGCGATAGTCATCCGCCTGACGCATGGTGATACGTTCAATAAGATCATGGCAGTACGTCCCAGTAGAGTCTTATTGTCAGTTTTAGAGGCGTAAACTTCAACTATACGCTTCCTGCTGTTTATAAAAAAATATTGAAACCGTAACAAAACCGAGTATGTGGATGGCACCATTTGAGTAGCTTCTGATAGGGTAAGCAGAAGTTAAGTGACCAAAATCCTGTTTGTAAAAGCAATATGGCACAACTGTGATTGGTGATGCGGAATCTAATTCCATGTTTAGACAAATGCTTTTGTTTCTAACTTCAACAAACACACAACGAATGCCTGGCGAAGGCAGTTTGGGTTCTTGAGTTGGAGATGAAAGTGGATGCTCACATTCATTTACGCCATGTTTGGATTGTAAACTGGTGACCGGAGAAGCTCTGGAGTCATTCGCAGAATCAGCTAACGAAATGGCGCGGGAACGACAAACCTGAGCAAAATGACTCGTCTTACCGCAATTCCGGCAGATTTCACTCGTTGCGGATCATGACTTATCATTTGCACGATGTTCAGTATTTCCACAACGGTAACAGTTATTTCTAACTGAAGATCGCATCAGAGAGCGTGTAGAATCCAGACGGTTAATATCATTAGCTCCTGTGTTAGAGGGGAAAATCTTGTTTCGTTCCGTGACTGCGACATTCGCACGAGCCACGTCACATGCCCTGTCCCATGTGAGCTTTTCTGCGTTCTCCATTAAGAGACTCTCTCTGATCCGAGAATCTGTGAGACCATAAATCAATTGTTGAGTTAGCATAGTCTCTTCCACGATTTTTCTTGGGAAAAATATTGTAGTCACCCTTTCGAACAAAACAAACAAGACGGGAAATGAATGCATCCACCGACTCACCAGATGCTTGTTTCAGTTGCGAAAAATTGTACGCAGAAGTATAGGTGTGCACCCGAGTACCCCAATTGTTTACTGAGGGCCGAAAAGGCCCCTGTCAACCTCAGTTTCCCCCGCAAGCAACAGACAGTGAGTATAACGGTTGGCATCGCTCTCTACACTACTCCTGCAAGTGATGAGCCACAAACACTATAGCGATGGTTCTGCGACCCGAACGGAATCCACACTGCTCTACAACCACGTTGGGTTCCAAAACATGACTGATGAGGCGGTTGAGCAGGATTCGGGCAATCACCTTGCCCACACAACTCAGCAAGTTGATGCCACGGTAATTCGTGCAACATTGCTTGCTCCCTTTGCCCTTGTACAGTGGTAGCACAAGGGCATCCTTCAGCTCAGCAGGCACCTCCTCCTCAATCCAAGTGGTGCGGTGCAGTCAACAACGCGGGTCCGCCGTGTTTAAATAATTCAGGCAGGATCCCGTCGGCACCTGCACACTTACCGTTTCGCAGTTGAGCAAGTGCTCTCTGCGTCTCATCCAGTGTCGGTGTATCCGCCAGATCCGCCTTCACATCGTGCTGCTTCAGGCCGTTCAATGTAGGCCAGTCAATCTCTAAACGGTTGTTCAAGAGACAGTCAAAGTGTTTCCGCCAGGTATGCATTATGTCTGCAGTCTGTGTGCAGGTAGCGCCTGAACTACCATCGATCAGTGTCCTCAGCGGCTCCAACCTCGGTCCATACACCGCCTACAAGTAGTCAAAGAATTCCTTTTGTTGGCGGCGTTCGGCGTAGCATTCCAACTGCTTCGCCATCACCGTCCACCATGCATTTTTATGCGACGGAGTTCTCGGGTCAGTCGCCGTTGAAATTTGCGAAACTGACTACTCTTTCCCAAGTCACTGGGGTCTGCCACATGTGCAGCAAATGCTGCATTCTTCTCCGACACCAATGCGCCGATCGTCAAATTGTTCTCATCAAACCAATCAGGCCGTTTACAGTCTGCGCGCCCGATGGCCTCCTCGGCAGCAGCTGTCACCTGATCGCGAATGTGGTGCCACAGGTCGCCCACTGTTGCTATGCAGTCCACATCACACGAGCTGCAGCCATCGCCTTCTCCAGCTCAGTACGTTTCGCCACAGTACCGAGGGAGAGAATGTTAAATTTACGCCGATTCACGGCGGGAGTGCAATACATCGATTTACGAAAATATATGTACAGTTTGGTCCGCACCAATTTGTGATCAGTGCCACACTCAGCTCCACGCAGTACACGTGTCATGCGCACTTCACGCATATCACGCTGACGTACGATGACAAAGTCGAGCAGGTGAGCGTGACCACTCCGTGGGTGCGTCCAAGTTGCTATATCACTCGCACTCAGTGCAAACCGAGTGTTCGTGATCGTCAGGCCGTGAGTGGCACACAGTGAGAGCAGCCTGTCACCGTTCGCATACACTGAACCAATGCCACGCGAACCGATAACATCTGTCCACGCTGATGCATCACGCCCAACGCGTGCGTTGAAATCACCCAGCAGAAATAATCGGTCGCTCCCCGGCACAGACCGTATCACGGAGGTTAGCTGAGTGTAGAATTGATCACGCGTGTCATCAGGACAACACATGGTCGGACCGTACGTGCTTATAAAAGTAGCAAACTTACCTCTTCCGAGTCGTAGGCGAACAGTCATCAGTCGCGCACTGATGCCCGTTGGTTCACCCACCAGCTGGCCATGGACGCGATCGGATATTGCAAATCCGACCCCATGATCACTTGGTGCTGAGGCGGCGTTGCCCACCCAATAGAATGTGTAGCCAGCACCTGTTTCATGCAACTTACCTTGCTCAGCGAGCCGGGTTTCACTGAGCGTCGCAATATCGACGTGGTAACGAGCCAGTTCCATCGAAACCAGTGCAGTCTGTCCCTCAGGCGCTCATTCGAGTTCCGGTCCAGTAGTTTGCGCATGTTCCAGCACCCGATGCTGAGTGCTTTGCGCGCAGGCATACGATAGCATTGGTGGTCAACCGCACGCGATGTGGTCGTTGTGCTTCGAAGGTTGACTTGCGAGACTCCACCCGGAGCCTTTGGCTCAATAGCCTGACCCACAAGGCAGTATGTGGTTTGGAGGTTTGCTTGAGGGACTCCACCCGGAGCCTTTGGCTCAATAGCCTGACCCACAAGGCAGTGGGGAGCAGATCCAGCTCGGGAATGTGATTGCAGAGACAGATTGGGATCTGCTTGACGCCGCCACACGCAGTCTTTGGAGTACTTTGACGATTCATTTGTGTTTCGCGACTGTAGTATGATACGCACCTGCGACCACCGTCGGACACAGGAGGGTCTTGGGAAGTTTGCATCTATTTGACCAGGGGCTGCCTGGCTTGATGCGGGCAGTAGCATACCATTGAACATCCGGAGGTGCCCACCACCCTCAGAGACAATGCGTGGCGCTCGTGCTCTACGCCAATCGAGCTGTGAGATTATAACACATTGACCTGTGGTCTTCTATGGCTACGTATTACGGGAAGTGGGCCATCGACCAGTTCCTAACCTCCGAAGAGGATGGATTAGGATACTGCCAGGGCACCAACGTCTGACAGGAGAACGACTCGGGTTTTCAGCCAAAGCCTTCGATTAAATGTACGCCCGAAAGGCAGCGGCTCTAGCACATGGTCAGTTCACTGACCCATGCAGATTGGTTTCCTGGATCTTAGCAGGGAGAAGGGCGTTACCCAACTCCCACCCAGCGGTTGCCGCGAGGGGGCGTCCAGGATATGAGCCAACGGCACAACAATAGCAGCAATGGGTAGACCAACTGTCAGGATCTAGCCATCACCAGCCTCAGCGCACCATAGGCTCTCCCGCCTATATATATATATATATATATATATATATATATATATATATATATATATACATATATACATATATACATATATACATATATACATATATATACATATATACATATACATATATATATAGCTCTGTTCAACCGTCGTTCAAGTTGCTCCGCCATAACATTGCCTTTGAATAGTTACTGTTAGCAGACGGGCATTTTGGGTACCATCTTATTTTTGGTACCGAGTGATTGTTGTACGTATATACTGGAGTGCAGCACACTATAAATACGTGTCTGCATGGTACCACCGCATGCTATCGACGCATATACATTCACGAGCATCAAAGCAGCTGGATTTTGCAACGATGTGGGTGGAAACATCTATGATGCAGAGTATTCGCCCAAGACCGTACAGTTAATTCATCTCTCATAATCAGTCTGTTGACAAAATTTCTTGAATGATTGACGACGTCCACTGGTCAACTTCCTACAGACTCGCTTTCAACCAAACTCACCCCGTAGTGTTATTTGTTTAGGCTACATCAAGCAAAATGCGTCAGTTTCCTTCAACTCCTAGAGAGCCAATTAGTTTACGATAACGCTGACTAAAGTTTAAGCTCAAAAAACAGCTTATCAACGAACTTTTCTTTTAGAGAAGCAGTGCCATGTATCAACATACTTTCTACCTATCCATTTTTCTGAAGTAACCAGCAACAATATTTGTTGAACTTTCAGTTTTCCGCCATGCTGTTCGCCAAGGTCCTAATTATAGCAGTCATTGTCGTCACTTACCACACCAATCCGGCTAATGTAAGTTCTATCACGATTGCTACTTGTTGAATTACTTCTATCCTATACCATTATCTCAATTCTAATTGCTGCGTCACTGTTACCGTAACTATTGTGCTGGTATATTTGTTTAGCAAGCAATTCTACTTGCTAGAGATGTTGCTCTTGTTTGGACATTTGTATATTTTATGCTCATCAATACTGATATCCAACGAGACATCCGGTGCCAAACCGTAAGCTTCTAAGTCCGAGTGCTTAGGTAACTGCTTGCTTTTTACTATCCGGTATCCCAGGAACTTCTTATTTGTTTTGTAACTTCAATGAAGCTACTAGCTAACTAAAACTAGAGTGGCAAAGCAGTTGAATGGTAACTTAGGTTGACTTACAGGTTATAAATCCGGTTGACAGCTTTTTCAATAGGGGCGTTTCGAACGTTCAGAGAGCATGGATTTGACACATTCCTCACAAGACACTATTATTGACTGGAGCAAAGGATTTGGAGTAAGATACATGAATGCCTCGTTTCAACTTGTTCGTGCGTAGCCTATTGAAACTTCAGCTGTACAACGGATGCAACTGCTGGTCAACCATGCTCTAATGAAGCGCACTGATTTCCGCTCGTATATTCAGAGAGAATCAGAAGTGAGCCTTGAAGGACACTGTTTGTATTTTACGAAGTAACCGTACTCAAACTGGATTAGGCTCATACCCAGAGCTTGTAACCACACTGAAGTAATAACGCTCAGTAAGAACACACAGAAATCGTATTTGGCGAATTCGGAATTACGCTAAGTTCGCTAGCACATTAAAACAAGAAGGGTCCAATATTGTTCATGTACAAGCACCACAGGTGCACGCTGATCTTGACACCACCAGCACCCGTCAATTAGACCAGTGGAAATGTCACCGGCACAATTGTACAAAACACCTCCACGTCGCTGTTGATCAGCTTATCGTCAACTGATACTTGTGAACTAATTAGTAATTTCATGAGAACGCTGGTCTATTTCTCGAGATCATGAGATGCAACCAGTAACAAGTATATTGGTCACAGCGGGGCATGTAGCCGCAATAACATCTCAGATGGAAGCAAGAATGACAGCGGACCTAAGGATTCGATAACAGAAGATCTCAATTTACGTGGTAATGTAACATGGCGTTCGCAAATCAAATGGCTTCGAATATCCGGTTACAAGATCATGATTTCATCCTGAACTTCCATCTGTGAACGTCCGTGCATAAATTACACTGTTGGAAATAAGGTAGAGGCTGACATCATCAGATTCAACCAGTCAACAGTGGATTATCTTTGCGTATGAGTCCAATCTCAAAGTTTCCTCGGTTGGGGTTTTGTGCCCCAAATCTTTCAATATTATTTCGTACTGATAAAGTCCCCCACGAGGATCCGAGGCAGTCATAAAAACAAGGAAAGCGAAAAGTGCATGAACGTATTTAGTAACCATACAATTATGAACGGATCAAGGACACAACAATGTGCTCATGTTAGATGTCACCAACTGCAAAAATGAGACACATAACATTGAAGTATTTACACTGCTATGCCAAGCGAAAGGAGATCGTATGTTATCTATGTGCAGATACATGCAGTTTATGCTATCTCGTTGGTGTATTTTTTGGTGGTTTCCTTGGGAAGACGATCGGTAAGACATCATCATAATCCGGTAGGCATAAATCATAAGCTGCTGCTTATCTGCGTGACGGCATAAGCACTAAACAAAAAGGAAGGCCCAATGAATAAAAAAGAAAGGAGAAAAGTAGGTTTACAATTCTAGATCTCTAACACGGTGCCCCTTTCATGTGGGGTACATACGTGTCGTCGAGTAAAAGTGCTCTGTATTGAAATGGGTAAATCAACAGATAGCAGAGTGATCACCATCCTTTAGACTTGATGTCAATACCATGTAACCAATACCACCACTGGTCATCTGTATGGAAAATATTTCTTGTTGATCATCTGTAGCGTCTTTGGCAGCACTCAGGTGCGGTTACATTGTCAAGCTAGTGAAGAGTTAATATAGCCATAGTAATCCTGTGCGACCGCCACCAATAAGTTGTGTGTGCCATGTCTCACAGAAATTTGTATCACAGACGAACATAACGAACTTCTGCGCAGTTCATCATTCATTGATGTCTTGCAAACAAACCTGCGTTTAGCCATTTGGTGGGAAAGGTTCCACTGCTGGTCGCCTGGAAAGATTGAACGAATTGATGGTAAATGTGGGAAAGAGGAGGCGAAATTTCAAGAAGTTGGAACCAAATTTTGATGTTTTAATTGTTTCATGCTGCTCGGTTTCTTGTTCACAATTCCACCATTCTGTGAACTTATACAAGTAGGTAATTCATATTTTCCAGGAAATCATAAAATTGATGAAGGTTTGTGATTTCAATTGCGCAGGCTAGTACCAAGACGGCTAATGAAGCCCTAAGCTCATGGGAGTTACAACGCCACTAATTTGCCTCTTAAAAGGCTGTTTAAGTGAAAAACAGGTGTTTCTGGCCTAAATGATAGAACGTTTAATGAGTACCGCAGTAAAAGTTGGCATATTGATTTTAAGCATGAATATTAAAGCATAAAACAGATATCTGAACAACTGCTTGAGTCTTTGACACCCCACCCTTGTGGTCCCCACCCTATTACACGGACAGCAGTTCCGGATGAAGTACACTTCTCTGTTTCTCTTTTCAACAGGTCGTGAACACCTTCCGTGGGAAGCTAGAAGAATCTGTGATGGGCTATGTGGGGATGCGCGCCAAAGACAAGCACAGTCTCCTTCTCAACACCATGATGCCTCACGTTAGTTAACAAGCTTGTCTGCCCACCGAACTATCTGAATGTCTTGCAGTTTGTTTACAATGTGCTTCCCGTTGGTCACTCAACTCATCCTCGCTCTCTAATTTTAGTATTCGGTATGTTTCGGTACGTGGGGTCTCCTACAGAATCGATGGCACAATCTGTCATTACAAACGCGGCATGTAATTTGCCTACTTAATATAACTAGTAGGATCCAACTGCAAATAACCGAATTACTGTTGAGTAGTGAGGATTTTTCGTATAATTGGGTTAATTCATCATGGCCACTCTCAGTCAGCAGGCCTAGGCCAGTCTGGAAATCACCAGACGCCGGCGTTTCGACCTTCTGGGTCTCGTCAGTGGTGGAAAATCGTTGCTGGGTGGACAGGGAATCGCATGTTAAGTGCATAAATTTCATAATATCTCAATACATTCAGACAATAACCACACTCCCGGAAAAGCACTGTACGGCTGTTGCCTTCTTTCGGGAATTGACAACAGCGCGCTCCGTCTGACACCTCTGGGCTGCAACCCGTAACTAGACTGCGGCCAATCAGTGATTGCGACCGCTGAGCTACGGAACAACAACGACCGTTGTGGATAACTTACTAGATGTGATATAGCGCTGATCAGTACCCACTGAGTTACACGTTACTGTTATGCACATGACGGGACAGCCATCTCTCCTCGATGGAATGCGCACTGCTGACGATTCCCGAAGGGGTTAGAGGGTTGTACAGTGCCATTCGGGGTGCGTGACGACTAGCTGATTAAATTTAAATGTGATGAATTTCTACTTGTAGCACTTGTAAGAATGCTATTGCTTCAGACCTGATGTCCAAATCAGGGCAGCTCTCAATGCGACTGCGTGCCTACCTGGTTAAAACGGAGAAAGAATAAACAAGCCACAGGACTGCAGCAAATTCGTTATGTTAGGACGATGGTCATGTACGAAACAACCTATTCTTTTCTTTGATTAACTCAAATAATCACCCAAAACAATGCCTGATGTATTAAGCTATGGATAAAACCAACACAACGAGACCAAATCAGTTACTTTTGCTGGTGAAACAGAGGCGGGATGATAAAAGCAATGCCATTTGGAAATGCTTGTACCTGTGTTCTAGGCGGCTAGCAACATTTGATTGACCAAATGTCAATACACGCACTTTCTGCTCTCCGAGTTACGCCGAGGAAATCTGGCTCCTCGGTTAACTGACAGCATGTGGTGGTGAGATGTTTCACCTTGAGTGCTGGATACTCATTGCCCACAGAGACTGAAGGTTGGTTTACACATTGCATTGGTGTCAGCTCACTTTGGTGGGGGTAGGGAATTTGAGCGAAGAATATATTCGGCTGGTTATGCGCATCAAGAATAACGAAAAGTAAGTGATCATTGACAATATTGAGCATATGAGTAGTTGAGCGCTTTCGAGGAGAAGTCAACTGCTGTTTCTGACATAATCTGTTATGGGTCATTCGCTGCCCTTGCAATTTCAGCTTTAAATATCACCAAGAAAATTACAGTGTGGTTTTGTAAATCAGCTGTTCTGGATTCGGCAAAGTGTGCCTTTGATGGGTAATTGACTGTTAACTCAATGCGTATATGCTTACTCTAGATGTCATGCTGTGGAGTCGATGGTGGTGAGGATTTTGCTGGTTCCAAGCAATTTGATTACAAGTACGTCGACAAGGAAAACACAATACGTGAGTTTACGGCGTATAGTGAATGTTACTTGCGTCTGCGTTGAATGCACAACGGTTTTACACCAATTCATGCCACTGCTGACCTGGTCCAAATGCGTTTCTGCACCTTTGCAATGCGGTGCATACAATTGAAAAGCTTGGACAGTAAATCAAAATTAACGCCGTTAGTTAGTACTAATGGATGCAACTTGACCAGAGGTGTTGCAGATAACCGAATTCAAATAGAACTGACTTATTATAATATGCCTGAAAGATATTATCGTCACAACCACGTCTACTTAGAGGATAATCTTGAAAAGCAACTGACAAATTGCATTAATTCACTTACAGTTCATCTGCTTCAGAACGATTTCCTGGTTCCGTTTTGATACGGCATGTAGAAAACTAACAAGGTCACACGTCAACTCAAATTTGCAGTTTTCTGAGACTAGAGGCTAACCCATTTAATACCACTGGTTTGGTATGTAAATTCAAACCAAGTGACATTGACGGATGGAACGTAGAACTATTTATGTTGAATTTACTAGCCCTAAGCCCGTTTAGACTGTCTTAAAGTTATCTCAAAAATGATATTTAACGCTGAGCGAAAGTGAGGAAGCAGTAACGCTGCGATATTTTCCTGGACCTCTGAATTTTGCACCTTGTTATCCAGGCTTTCTGGATCCGATTTTACGCCTGTGTTACGGTGTGTTTCGTGGGCCCAATGAAGTTACATGCTTTAATAATAAACTGATTTTAGTATTGCATCAGCGTATTTTGTTGTGTGTCCTCTCTGTATCCTTGGTATCTTTTGTGCAATTGCCGAGAAGCTTTGGGAAAATTGGGGATCTCCTAGCACCGATTCCGACCTCCACAGAGGACTGTTCATTAGGCATGGAACCACAGAGGCAAGTGACCAGTGAAAGATTAAGTTGTGTGGTCGCAAGATGAACAGGTCGAAATTCATGATGTTCTGCTAATTGGTTTAGTGGTTGCTTCAGAATATTCTAGTTCATTGCTTCATCCGTTGGATATAGTCCTTTCCTGTTTGTATCTCGTAACCTGATCCAATCGACGCAGACCGTTAGCTCATAGATTACAGGTCCCTTACGATATGGTCACCAGCTGACGTAATGTAATGAACATGAAAAGAAACTTGTCTTCTGCTTTACATTTGACTTTGCCGCCACTATGTGTCACCAGTTACCATTTGTGCTCAGACTAAAGGGGCTACCGCGTTATGCTGAGTAAAGGTAGCAATGTTGAAATTATGCAATAAGGAGCCAGTGCAAACTGGGTGTACCAGATGATTTTTGAGCTTGTTACTTTACGAGTAGTAGTTTGTGCATCAAGGTTGAAGTAAAATGCAAAACATGCATAACTTGCGAAGTACACACATATAAAACCTCTTTATGGTATTTTTACTAAAAGGTGAACATAGCCCATCTGCTAGCTTGTGAACTGGGAACGATCAACATCCTTGGTGCTAAGCGACTATCACACCGCATTCTAAAACTGTGTGTTTGTGCATTCGATTCTTTTCTGAAGTCGTGATCCACAAACTTGCTCTACTGGAAAATCTTTTGTCTATTTACAGAAATAGCATACCCTTTCCCTTGCTGCAAGCTTGCAGCTGGATATAATCGACCGACAAACAAATGCCCAGAGTCATTTGATGAGAGGAACAGTAATCTTAAAAGTGGCTGCTGGCCTATTTTGGAACAAAAAATACTATCCGTGTTGACAAAGGTGTCTTACATCGTCATCGTTACCACCCTCATTGAAGTAAGAGACATTATAGAATACATTACTTGTAGATGAGAAGTATAACCCCCCAGGTGCTATGTTTCTTAACCCACATTGTTGGAACGAATCAGCACAACATCTGCAACTTGTATTCATCCCTTTTGACTATAAATCAATGGCCTCAGTTGGCCAACTTGTTGTTCGAGAAAGTCTTACTCCATAGTATTTATCGGTCACAATTTACCAGGGCGAACTATTGAATTCAGCCTGCTCTTTTTCATAAGCACATTTTACATTCTTGATCCATCGTAATTGGGAATGCGGTACGATCTGGTTTAGCTATTTTGGTGCAGGAGTCCAAATTTCCAATTTGTCAATATTTCGTTAAATGCGGTAGGAAGGGATCACCATATAGGGACTAAAAAAGTCTGTCACTTGGGATAATGCCCAAAATTATCAAGAAGGTATTCAGGTTGGTGGTTGTTAAAGCTCTGTGTGACGATACGTTTTTTGGTCAGAAACCAGCACAGGTGTTCTCGATGTTCAAGACTGCTAGGATATTTTCTCAGTGTGTCTTGTCAGCTTATTTTGTGGCTAGGATAATCATCGATGTCAACTTCAAGCCTACGGATTGGGAAAAGAAGTGGATGAGTGTACAGCGCTGCGGAACGTTGGTTGAGGTGCACTAGCAACTTACTAAGCAGCTAAACAGTTATTTGTTTAAAGTTATATCTTTTAGCAGTATAGCCTATTCGGGCGAAACACACAAGGTGGCTTGCTAGCTTCAATGTTTTAATAGATTTTAGTACCCGGCGTCGATTTTGTCCAGGTAAACACTGCGCTAGTACTACATTGGGATGTCCCCGTCACCACTAAGGAATTAAGCATGGTAGTTTGCTACGCTCTGTACCACATGAAACTGTTGGTCTCCGCAACTGAATCCATATACGCAGACAAGAATATGCGGTGCTGATATTCGACTACTTATTTAATCAGTCACTTGGGCCTTATTAGCTAGGCGTCGCTAACGCTTTCCACTAACTCACTGTGAATCAGCGCCGTGGTAAACACATCTCACCGCTAAAAATGCTGTCAGCTTGAAAGCGGTGCCGGTTCCACTAAGTCGGTAGTTTTCAGCCAACAGAATATATGCGGTATGGTCTCGAACAATTGTGTGCACAAGACGACAGCTGTTATGTGCTTGGAATCAAGACCTTAACTGGGAGGTAGATTGACACAGCCTAGCGGTACTGAGTACAGTATTTTGGCCACTCTGGTTAATGCGGATCTTAGATGCGAATAAAGACAGTCGAGTAAAGCGACACTGTTTCGCATCTCTCGGACATTACTGTGCCACTGGAAGTAGCATCTTGTTTTCCGTCATTACCGAGCTTAGAGAAACACAAAGACGGATTGTGACTACAGTGCCAATCAGGGCAAACACTATGTCCTATATGTCGCATTGGGAGTGCTATTGATGACCACAGTGGACGCAACCCGACAAAAATTATAATTTCGCGTTCTGACTGCGGCTTTCAATCCCTGCACTATAATAGTCAAATGATACAAACGTAACCTGCGGCACGGCGCTGTTTGCTCACCACAAGATCCGTTAGTTGGTGATCAAATGATAGCTCTGAACTATTTATGTAGAGTGGCTAGATAATTACAGACAGATCACGAGGATTGTCTACGCGTTAGTTACTCTTGCTTGCAAGCGGAAACCTCAAATATGCCAATTCTCGAGGAATCGCGCTTGTTAACGGAACACTGACCTGATCTTTTGCAGCAATATTCCAAGTGCTCAGTAAACTTATCTCAACACCCACTGTGTGCATGGAAATGTAGTTGATGGATAATATATAGTGTGCAACTGATAACTCCGTTTTCTACGGTACATTGTGGAACGTACTACTACTGCTTAGTCGATACAGTAATGCGTTACTTCTTCAAACAGTAGAAAACCTTAGTTTAAGTAGGGAAAGTTGACTATGAGTAGTCTCATATGATTCCCTTGCTTGAGCGACTCTTATTTCACGGACAATACCAAGGTGTAAATGCAAATCGTTGGCTTGTTCAATTAGAGTAGGAGGTATAGCTCCACTTCTGGAAAACTCTTGGGGGATCACCAGAGGGCATCTTGCAGACATTCACACAGCTTGCCGCCACTACTTATGGAAAACGTGAGGAAAACGATGCCGGCCAGAAATACTTGCAAAATACCAACGGGATTCGGTTTGTCAAAGGCACCAAGTGATGCTGACTTCGTTTTAAGATTCAACCAAGACTAGTGGATACCTTGATTTCCCTAGCCACAGAGAATAGTTTCCATAAACGTTTTGATTCAAGCAGTAAGGAAGTAAAGTGATATGACAGGTTTGTAACATCCAAGTTGAAATGTTGTCATTACCACTAACTTCAAGCAAAACCAGCATGCTTGGGTCTGTTTAACGAACTACTTGATTTCTCCAATTAATTCAAGCTTGAAAGTTATACCATATTTTACTTCTCTAGTTGAACAAACCTCGCAATCGCCAGCTACAGAAATCTAATGCGCTGCACTATGCTTGCCTGATTATTGCCCGATGGATACAATTAGCAATTTGTCCAGTCTGTCCCATTAGGGCTAGGCTGTAGGCAATCAAGTGCTTAGCGGGAAGAACTGAAAGACCTTCTTGGGCTTACCGTGGAATAGTCATTATCAATTCTTCCCATGGGGACTGATCAGAAGCTTAAGTGCTATCTGGACACATTTTCATTGGCAAAATCCAATAGTTTCATGAGCGCGCTATTAACGTTGATGGAGCACAATATTACCTAAAGGGGTCCAAGCATGACACCAGTTGAAACTGTTTATAGTATAAACTAATCATCTCAGCATTCAGCCCAACATATTGCACCCATGACCTAAGTTCACGACGGAATAATGAACACAGTGCAGCGAGGAATTCCTGCCTTACACACGTTATGTGGACTCGCACAAAACGCAACCGAGGCGGCCAACGCCCTAGGTCAACAATTCGCCCCGAACTTCCAGAGCACGACACCGCCGCATACACTGTTCCCGATCGTTGTACCACCACCAGGACTTAGCCACATTGTGTTTACGAGTACTGATGTTATGAAAAGGCTAATGGCTCTGCGCGATCATCTCTCCCGGCATTGATAATATTCGTCCAAAAGCGTTGAAATTGGCTACAGTACATCTGGCGGACCCACGCTGCAAGTTCTTCCAACGATGCCTTGATGAGATGCGGGTGCCAACAATGTGGAAGCAGGACATCGTCACTCCCATCCATAAGGCAGGAAGTCGTACAGGTCCGGCCAACTATCGCCTGATAACACTACTTCCGGTGTTCTCCAAAATCATGGAAGCGATCGTTGCCGAAGCGCTGATGAACTTCTTGGAGGAACGCAATATCATGTCACAAGAACAACATGGATTTCGCAAAATGCGATCTTTCACTTTAAACTTGTTACTTGCTAGATCTAGCTAGACTGAGACCGTTGACAGCGGCGTAGGTGTTGACGCAGTATATCTGGACTTCTCAAACGCTTTCGACCGTCTGAACCACCGTATCCTCCTTCACAAGCTGCAGTGTTGTGAAATTGGTGACCCAATCCTCGGTTGGATAGGTAACTTCTTGCTTCAACGACATTTGCATGTAAGAGTTCACGGCGTCATCTCTGACCAAATCGACGTTAGGTGTGGAGTGCCCCAGGGCTCAGTACTTGGTCCACGACTATTCCTGATTTACATAAACGATCTCGCAACAGCAATGACCTCCAACTCCGCAATCTTCGCTGACGATCTCAAGATATAGCGAGTCATTAGAAAAACCAGCGACAACGCAACACTTCAGGATGATCTTAACAGGGTCTACGAATGGTCGACTCAGAACCTGCTTAAGCTCAACACTACAAAATGCAAGGTGTTGAGCATACGCCATAAAAATACTTGCGAATACAGAATGGGGGATCAAATATTGCAGCGCACTTCAACGGAATGCGATCTAGGCGTGATGGTGCAGGAAGATCTGAGCTGTTCCCGTCAGGACGAGAAAGCTTCCAAAAAGCTAACCAAAACCTTGGCCTTTTGCGGAGGGCATTCGGGCGCTTCGATTCTTCCATCTTTTTTCAGATGCTCAACGCCTACATTCGGCCTCATTCTGAGTACGCCATCCACGCCTGGCAGCCATGGCAAAAGCAGGACCTTACCGCTCTTGAACTGCCACAACGAAGGGCGACCAAGAATATAAATGGCCTGTTTCATCTCCCTTACTGATTGAGGCTGAAAACCCTCGGGGTCTACAATGGACAATATTGACGCCTGCGTGGCGACTTGATAATGACTTATATGATCCTGAAGAATCTAAACCATTCTCGTCGTCACCTACGAAAGCTGAATAGCAATACCATACCCAGAGGACACCATCTAAAGCTGGACACACAATACAGCCGGTTGGAATGCCGCCGGAATTTCTTGTCCCTTCGTATGTGTCAACACTGGAACGTTCTTCCCACATACGGTTTCTTCCCCCCCACTAACGGTATTCAAAAGACGTCTGGATGATTCGCTTATCCACCTACATTACGCTATATAACCAAAGACGTCTACGTCAATCAAACGCGAACAAACGGTGCTCATTCTCAGCTTTTGTGCTTCACTACTTACACACTACTGTTGTGGAATATAGTTTCGGATAGATTACAACTGCATTCATCAATTACCTCAGTTCAAGAAAGCGGCGCAGGAGTAAGCGTTGTCGTTTCTTTTGTTCTTAAGACATACCTTCCACATATTACTCTACAGTAACAATTCAGCACACATTCTAAAATGTTTGTATGAATAGGGGGCACCTGAAACGCTAGACGTTTAAATTGATGATTTACACTTATGCTTACTTTCACTACAACCATCCTACGGGGCTTGTAAAGCAATCGCTTTTTTACGTGTAATATATCATTGTTCATTGTTCAGTTGTAAATTCGCACAAAGAAATCACCCTTAGCACAAAAAGCGATCACTTTAGTCTGTG